AGTACGCACACTGCCGAAACGACAATATGTTTTAAATATCAAGAGAACTAAATCTCTGGCCTTAAAGGCGGAAAGAAGCTGATTGAAAACTCTTAAGGAATGCAGTGGCAAGGCGGCTCACTTTCCGTCTCTCTCTACCTAAAAAATTGTGAGCGTTAATTTAAAATATTGAGAAACAAAATAAGTCTGCTTGAATATGCAGCGAATAACTGCAACTGGCATTTCAATTGAATGCAGAATTTCTATTCACGGTTTCAGTACCTTTGAATAGGTAAAGCTGAATTCAAATAAACAAGTCAACAAGCTTACTTAGCAACCCAGGTCAAACGTCCGGCAAGGTGGCAGCTGAAACACAGCCACACGCCGTTCTTACAGCAGGTGAAGTTCTTTCTTCCAGTTTATACTATGATGCTCTGGAAACAAATTTGCATAAATATCTGGAGAGCGAGTACCTGATGAAACGAGACATACAGAAGGATGCAGATTCATTTTTTATTAGCTTTTCTTTTTTAAGTTGAATTCAGATGTCGCAAAATGAGGACTACAGTTTCCTCTTAACCTCATATTCATATCTCTTAACTTACGAAAATTAGGAAAAAATTTATAGTATTTTCTCTGTTAGAACGAATGATTCAGGTCGTATTTCTTGGAAATAAAAAGCCTCTAATACTAAAAAAATCTAAATTAAACTATATTTAAGATGGAATAAATCTTTCACATTTATTATTAAATACCTATTCTTAACATTGAGAAATTAATTTTTATACGGGAGATAATGTATTAGAAATATATCATAGACGTGACAAGCAAAACAAAGTCAATAGTGGAAAGTAATACAATACAAGCATATACACATACGTTGCATGCACACACGGCGCTAGTAGGTCCTCCCTCAAAATCTTGTATTTTTGACTAATAGCAAATCGCTATTTATTTTATTTTATACATTGGCATAACGAGACCATTTTGTATAGGTTTCCTTACACCTTAATGCGTTTTTTCAAGCGGACGCGTCGGGAAATGGAACGGGAAATTGAAACTAAAATTTATGACTAAGGTTTTTCAATTAATATTAAAAAAGAGTTTTGTATTCAGCTTCAATTTTCTGTTTCGACGAAACGCGATATGGAATTAGCTGGATTCAAAAATCATTATAAAATTTCCCCTGAAGAGTCGGTAATCAGATTCGAATTGGACTAATCTAAAATTTACCGCTTTTTTGTTTTTGTATTTTGTTTAAGTTTTATGTCACACTTTTATTCTATTGTTAAAAGTATGCCTTACCTTGATCAGCAAGAACACTTACAATTAGTTTTGAATTTATTTGTAAATATTCTAGTGTTAATATTGTTTATTTAATGTTTACACGTTTCATTGCACTTAATTACTTATGTTAAATTGTCACAGGAACCACAGTATCTAAGCTACTTTTTAGCGTAAGCACTAAGAACTTTCTTTTAACTTGTTTTCTAAATTTTGCAGCTTAATGCGCAAAGTTCCTGACCACAAAGGTCTCTTTTAGTTTGCTTTCTTTTCTTTAATTATATATATAGATAGATATAGTTTCTTATATTTGCAAGTTTTTTCTCAACATACTCAAAATAATATTACTCAAATTAATCTACTCAAAATAATATTTCTATACTTTTTAAAATTTGTTTATATTTTTAATGCTATAATTTGCTATTTTTTCATTACTTTCTTCGGCCTTCGCATGTTGGACTGCTAAAGTTAGTTTCGATGATTTTCTGAAATTATTTTAAGTTTTAAACTTAAATTTGTATCTTTGTTAGTTTAGTAAAAGGCTAATTTATTTACTTCTTTCGTTGCACCAACCCACTCATGACGATACAGATAAAGATGCAAACTGTTTCTTATTTCCTTATACGAAGTAAAGGAAGTATTGTAATCGTGACAAATTTCGGGTATCGTATTTCAACGAAAGTAATAATTTTGACCGCTCTCGACTCCATTTTGAACAATGTTTTTGTGTTACATCTGTACGTACGGTCAGAATGAAGAACGCTTTTTCCCAAAACGGATTTTGAAATGGTTCAGAATAGCTTTGTTTCATGACGACTTTACGTACGTGTGTACGTAGGTACGTACGTATGTATCTCACATAACTCAAAAATGAGTTACGTCTGAGATTAACGCTTGAGAACGTTGCAATTTTGTGTATGGGACTGCTATAACCTATAGATGTGCACCTCCCATTTTGCTTTTAAGCCACTGCACTAAAAGTACATAAATATATGTATAATATATATACCCACTATGTTACCCGACTCGGTGAGCTAAATTTTTTATTCTTATGAGTTGGTAAATTGTTCACTTTTTTCTTTAAAAGTGATTGAATTATGGGGTTTTTATGTTTCGGTTGCGATTTTTATGTTTTTAATTTATCTGCATGCAACAGTTGTAGAATCATCAACAATTTAAAAGATCTTTAATTTCCACTAAGAATAACAATGCCGCCATTAATTCGCATTTGAAACTTAGTAGCATAGTGAATTAAGTCAGCTTCCGCAACAGCTTCAGTGTCTTTTTGCCGAGAGGGGCCGAAAGTTTTGTGCACCGAAAAATTTATCTTTCTGCCTAACTTTAATTAATTTAAACTGTAATTTAAATTTTAAAAATCATTTTTTAACGGTTTTCATCTTTTTAACTTTATTTGATGTTTAAAGTTTTTCTGTATTTTACAAATTTTAATGAAGATGTTTTGAATTATTATGTATTTGTTCCTTGCCGCGGAGTGAGAAATGAATTGACTGAATAAGAAATATATCTCGAATGAAATTCGGGGAAATAATTTTAAATAAAATACAGAAAAAAGTGTTCCTAATTTAATAGGATAAGGAAGTCATGTGGTATCCACATCAGATATTTTCATTCAGCACGCAAATGGGTTAGGTTTTGAACTGCTTTTTACTTTGTATTTATTCATTTATATATAATGCATAAAACTTGAGATACGTGCGCTAAATAGTAAAAAATATCTTTTTAACTAGGCTAATATTTTTGAATACATTTGATTAAAAGTAAAATCGCATCGTTGTTAAATATGAAGAATTTTAAACAAAGTAGTCAAAAAGAAATTTAATGTAATCGTTCTTAGTTGTTTCATTTCTATGCTGCCACGTTGAAATTCTGTTAGTGGGGAAATATAATTCTCATATTTGCCCCCATGATTTTAAATTTAGTCACATGTACCAAGAATATTGCAATAGGTAAAAAAAAGTTTAGTGCACTTAAGAATTTTTTTTTTACGTAAAACTTTTACATTTGTAGTTAAAGAACGCAGAGAGATAAGAAAGAAAATCACTGTCTGCGTAGAAAAATTACTCCCTCTAATCGGTATGGAAAAGAAGTATGTAATATCAGTTTTAAAACTTTTAGATTTATTCCACAGAGTAAGATTATATTCACTTCACAAATTTTTGTATTTTACTTAGAAATTAAATACCTGATGACTAAAAATTATTCTGAACAATCCCAAACAACAAAATCCTTAATTCAGAAGTCAAACAACAAAAATCAGCGTTAATGAATGAATTCATTAACGCTGATTTCCAACGTTGATTCTGTCAACAATGAATTCTATTGATCCTGCTATTCAGTTCACTTTTGAACTTGAGACTTGCAATTCTCTTCCGTTTCTCGACATTCTGGTCACACGTAACACATCCAACTTCAGTACTACAGTTTACCGTAAACCTTCATCGGTTGCCTTCCACCACACTTTAATCATGTCATCCCTAAACAAAAGTTAGCTTCATTTTATTCCTATGTTTTCCGTGCTCTTCAAGTTTGCTCCTCCAAAACTAGCCTTGATGAAGAACTAAATATTAAAAGCAATAGCCATTGACAGGGGCTTTTCACCCAAACATTATTAATCAAGCAGTTTAAAAATTCTCATCTCAACACGCTAAAAGACACACTCTTATTTTAGGAGATTATAAAATTCTGTTGTCATTCCCTTCTTTCCATCAATTAGCTATAAAGTTGCACATATTTTGCAGAATTTACTTTCGGGTTGTTTACTCTCCCATCAATAAATTCCAACTTCTATACTCAAGGACCCCATTCCGGATATGAATTCCTGGGGTTTTATAGGATTCCTTGCCAGTGCGGTTTAATTTACATTGGCCAAACTAAGAGAGCCTTAAAATTTCGCGTCCAAAGAACATGAGGCAATGTTAGAAAAAAGGAAAACACAGAAGTCTTCTGTGCTCAACATTTGTGTCCGAAATCACACTTTCAATTTTTTGCTGCCAAAATTATTCAAAAAAAATCTTCCATTGGAGAACTGGATTTTTAGAGGCATTTCACATTCATAAAAATCTTTCTGTTCTAGTTAACGATCCTAATTCAATCCAAATTTGCCTTCGGCTTTTAGAGAAATTATGTTTTAGTTCTGGTTTCGCCAACAGAGATGGCGCCACTTGCTTATTCTTGTCCAGGCTTTCTTATCTTATCTAAACATTATTTGCTATCTTGTTCATTTCGGTTTTGCAGCTGAAGATGATGGTTGGTAAAACCATCGAAACTAGTCCTGTGAAAATTTTGTAAATTAACGCTGATTTTTGTTGTTTGACTTCTGAATTAGTATTTATTCGGCGTGTTATTGTGTCTTAACAAAATCCTTCCCACGTCATACCATCCTGGGTATAATCTGCCTTGTTTCTTATGGTGCATGTGGTGAGTTTTTTTTTTAATATTAACTTTTTAAGCAATATAACGCATAAGTGGAATTCAACTAGTGTTATTCAACTTTCTCCATAAGTGTGTGTCAATCACACATCTGAAATACCAGAAATGTCAATCAAAGTTCAGCCCTTCAATGAATAAACAATGGTAACGCGTCTGTAATCAAAATAGTAGAAAAACAGGGCCTTATTCGAAAACTTCGCTCTTCAGTCATGTCGTCATCAGTTTTTATGTATTCTTCTCCTATAAAAGGCATTTCGCTCACCAAATGGCAGAATCTGCTCAAAATGCTTAAATTGTAAAGGAAGTATACTGTAATTTCTGTAATTTGTATTAAACAGAAAGACATTTTCCAACTTTAGGTCAAATAGACGCGATAATGAAACTCCTTGGCCGGTTGTTGCTCTCCATTTGTAAGTAAAGCATTTTGTTTTATGCAGTTATGATGACTTCAGTTTTAATAAGGCTGATATATTGTATTATGTTGTGAGAAAACAACTTGCTTACCTTCTAACTGACAACTGTACGTGTAGTAAGTAAGTGTAAGAACTACGCATTAGAAGGTGTACAAGTACCCTTTATTAAGCTCTAAAAATTTACAATACGTCAACTTGACGCTAACACACTACTGAAAGAACTTAAAATTAATTAAAATTATTTATGTAAAATAAATATAAATCCCTATAATGTGATATAAAACCCTATGTACTGATTTTCTGTCTATCCGATAATGCCATACCCGCATATTTAAATTCTAGATGGGAAACAATGAAAAAAAGCAATAAAATGAGATTTGCTTCATTTCATGTTCATATTTTATGCTTGAAATCTTAAACATCAAAACTAAGTTTTAAAGAATGGTACGAATAGAAGAAAATGATCATGAGTATAATTGAAAGCGGAATAGTTGCTGTGGAAACTGAGAAGAGGAAGCAGAAATTGCCATACGAGGAAAAACTCAAAAACAAAGATTGAATGTAATAGGAAACACTGAGAATTTTAAAACATGGCTGCAAAAAATATCCCGGAAAAGACAAAGCACCCACAGCGCATCACATTATAATGCCATTTGAGGTGTACGTGTTGAGGTTAAAATATTTCACGTATATAATTGCTAATGTACGAGTAGTATGTAATGATTTGTTATTGTGGGAGATAAATCTGGAAATATTTTAACATAATCGTTACAGATTTTTGTAATAATTAATTATTTTTTTGTTAGTTAATATGACATGAGATACATAATTTTTCTTAAGAAAATTTTGCAAATCAGTTATTAGCGAAACAGTCAGATGTTCCTCGATATCGAATAATATTGTTATGAATCAGCAATAACGGAAAATGAAAAAATCGTCTCAAATGCAAATGTTTTCTCTAACTGAGTAAAATGTTTATTATCGTAACACGCTATCCGAAGAAAAAATTCGTATGTATATTTTTAGATTTAACAGTTATTAAATGTTTCATTTCTTTGATATTAGATGTGTCCACGGCGAGATCTTCGCAAAATATTTGGAAGGTTTGGTTATATTAAGCTAACATGTACTAACGATCTACTTGCTTTGAAAAGTATTGCTATTAGAACAACATGGAATTGCTCACACTTTAAATGCTGAAAATACAGAAACAACACTGAAAAGATCATCAGCAATCATAGGTTTTATAGACACATAATTACCAGGAAGCTTATGGGTTAACCACTAGTAACTGTAGGTCATAAGTCACCCGTTATTCATCCTTCTGTTTAAAATTCCTTATAATTTATGCATTTTCATCTGGTGACCTAAGGTTGCCTTCCAGTGACCATCAATCTGTAAGTCACGTGCAACCAACTTTCTAATTATGTGGAGCATGACTATTGAACCGCAAGCTACCTGATACTAATTGTCTCTTTGTAGGTCAGCGGTGACCAACAGACTTCTCGCTCACTTAAAAAATACACCTAGTTTAATCTGTAAAACATCAGTGACTCACTAGTTGACCCCACGGTGAACCGCAATCTATAGGTTATCAGTGACTAACAACCTTGTTGAGTACAGGTATCTTTGATTCAATTTCACTTTAAATATCTACCGAAATTTACTATCCTGCTTTATATTAGTAATCTATGAGTTGACCCCAAGTCATTTCCAACTAGCGTGTTTCCAGATACCAACTTTGAACGGCATTGGTGTCCTTAGAAGTTTTAAAAATCTGTTTAACTTCACAGCTTCAGAACACACTGGCGACGTACGTGTTGATCGTCAGTAATCATCACTCTGCAGATCACTGGTCACAACAAGTATGCTTCGACTGAATTTCAATTCAAATATCTTCCTAAATTTCCTGGTTATCCTATTACCGTGATCTATGACCTAGTTTTAGACTCTTAAGTTTACGATAGAGCTTCATACTCATTGATTCCGTAACTAGGCCACTGACTGACCAAATCCTTTGATGGATAACGATGTGCTTTGATTTAATTTTAGTACACGAATACATATATATATGTGTAGAGTATACAAATTTACTCATCTGCCGCATACTGGTGGTAACATATGAATTGACCTCAGCTGTCCCCCAACCCATACACCTAATCGCTAAAAAAGTAAAAACATTGAACACGATAATTTCATCCGGAATTTGATCTTTAGCAGAACATATTGTGTATAGTGGTCTAGGTTGTTATCGTTGAGCGTAACCTGAATGTAGGAGCCTATTTCTTTTTAAATGTCTCATGTTAACCAGTTTGATTCAAAGTAAATACAATTGTGTACTTAGCTATAATCAGCAGTTTAACTAATCATTTAATGAAGTTTCTACAGTAAAGAAAAATCAAGTGCCGAATTCATTTTGAAAACACAAAAGACCAGTTCTAAGAAATTTATTAGATTTAACGGAGTTCACAGTTATACGGGAGAGGGGGCTTTGTGTCAATTTAAAATAAAATATCTTCTTTGAAATAATTCGTTATAAATATTTAAAAAATATAGTTCCACAAAACAATTGAATCGAGCACTTTTCAACTTTTGTAATGAAAATTCCTGCGGATACAAAAACTGAAGGAAAAATTAAGCGAGGATAAGGAAAGAAAACTTATTTAAAAAAAAAACTTTGCTTATAGCCACACAGCCGGTATAGTGGTAGCGTCGCTGACTGCCGTGCCGAAAGGCCCGGGTTCGAATCCCGGAGCAGGCATGGATGTTTATAAATGTATAAAGTCCGTGCCGCGTGGAAGCACTCTAAAAATGCGACGAGTCGAATGTCCTCTCGAGAGGTTAATGGTAGGGGGAAAGGTGAAAGAAGAGGTGTGCGGGACCCATAGACTCCGGACCCGTCCCTCTCGGTGTTCTTTATCAAAATTGGGGCGGAACTGAGCTAAACCGAACAGTCACCCATAAGGTGCTCAAGGCTGTTGCCAACGATAGGCGTAAACATGCACTCCTTGCCATGAGAATTTTCGTGGGTTTGAGTTGGTTATAGGCCAGACAAGTGAGCACTAGCAACAACAACATCAACTTTATTTATAACAAAACTGTGCAGTTTTTTCCTAAATTGGTAATGATTTTGAGTACATCTTTTTCACTATTCATATGCCTTTCAACTTGCATCCGCAAGCGCTAACTTTTATATATATATAATATATATATATATATATCTGCGGATGCGTCGGGAAATTGGAACAGAGAATTGAGACTAAAAAATTTTTTTAGACAGTTTATTTAATTAATTAAAAAATTTCGTAGCGCAAACTTTCAATTGCCTGTTTTGGCGAAACGCGTAATGGGGTTAGCTTGGTTCGGTGTTCATTAAAGAAATTTCCCTTGAAAAGCCAAAATGGACTTCTTATTGGGCTAATTAACCATTTTACGCTTCTTAATTTTAACATTTTTTGCCTTTTACCTTGTTTAATCAATTAATATTTTACCATGTTTTTAATTTACTGTTTATTTCGCATATAGCCTATTATTTTACCTCATTCAATTGATTTGTTTTTTATACTGTGTTAAAATTTCCGAAAATGTTTAGCATATAACTTTTATTAATCGAACTTGTATATATAAAAATATTTTTTATTTTCACACTTTTCATAGCTACTGAATATGCTTATGTTGGAGTTTTCATGGAGCCACAGCTTTTGGTAACTTTTTGGCGAGCTCACTAAAATTTATCTTTTCATTTCCTTAATTTTGCAACACAATGCGCAAAAACAAATTTGACCAAAATTAGTCTTTTTAGTATTGTTCTTACAACGTTTTCTTATAACATATATATATATATATATATATATATATATATTAATTAACTCCCATTCTGAATCTCTGTAGTCAAAGCTGCTTCTGTTAAACAAAGCAACGTATCCCGTAAGAATCTGGCTCTAGAATCATTGTTGCTAGTTTAAATGCTAATAAACCTATGCTTTCCAACCTTCAAATTCGAAATGGATTGAAGAAATTGAGTCGATTTATGGCATTAAAACTGACATTCAAAACGGTATCAGTTAAAATTAGCTGTTAAATTACTATGGATGAGAGAAATATTATTAAAAACGTGAAGGTCTTGATCTCTAAAGTCAAAATTTGACATACTTTAAAAATTTTGAAAAGTCGTTAGCCAGTCTTGCATCACTTTATATACTTTTAATTGTCAGTTCACATGTGTTTAACAGCTAATTTTCTTGACAGTGAGTAACTTCTAAATGACAACAATTGCTTTTAAACTTGTATTGATTAAATATTGATGAAGTTGTATTTAATTGACATAAAAATGTCACTACTTTATCAAAATAGCTTCCTAAATATTTCCCTCCCCGAAAAGAAAAAAAAAAACATCAACTTGCCTGCACTTTATTTAGATAATAAATTTTATTTTCTGTTTATTTTTACGCAGTGCTATAAGAGCAAACTATTAAGTTCAGAATGCGTTGATTTTGCAAACTGCATTGTCCCAATTCTCAGACTGATGCTGTGTTGAATGCGATATATGCATCTGTTGTAAAATATAAAATATTGTTTTGATAATTCTTCATAGTACAGGTCGACCGTCTCAAACGCAACCCTGATTGGCATTCTGCTAAAACACATAGACTCGTCCAAAGGGGGCTTTATTACTTGCTGCGACGTGAAAGATCACGTGAAAATCTTCTTTCTCTGGAAAGAGATATGCTGATATCTCTTTCCAGAGAAGTTCATACGAGTGAAAGAAAGTTCCCATCCTTCCACCCTATTTTGAGAATAATTCGGTCCGAATGGCGCATGCGTATTTGCGCTCATGGTCGCGGATGAGGCGGTCGAACTATACCTCATCTGTGATATACATTTTGCCTGGTGTCCACTAGCAGCCGAGCGGTAAAGTCGCTAACCACTGATACTTCGGTCCAAGGCTCAAAATCTTGGTAAACGGGTTGGTTGCATGTGCGCCTTCCCCATGCGTATAACGCGTATATGAGACCGTTCCTCCAGAAACGCATCCCGTCCCTTACGGAAGACAGCTCATGAGTGCTTTGTCATAATTAAATAAACCAAACTATGTAGGTCGTTTTTAGGCTATTGATTATTACGTGAAGCATGCGCCAGCAGCACGAAGCATCTTCCTACAATAAATTCCTTCATCATTACCCTGAATTTTGACCACAATTTAAAAAAAAAATTAAATTTATTTCTTTTCCTAGTAAAAATAGCTACTTACTACATTATTTCATAAAAATATAGATCTCGAACTGTTGTAAAAAATATTGTTGTAAAGATAATTGGAAATATATTTGTTGATAATCATAGGTGGTAAATACAACATAAACAAATTAATCTCATGCATGAATAGATTACACAAACTAAGACGCTTTATGCATAGTTTCTCTTATTGCTTCATGTTTCCATTCTGTGAATCGATATCTGTGGCTCGAGAAAAAGCTTTTTGGAATTTTGAAAATCGCACTATAACACTACCTCGCAAGCAGCATCGTTATTTTTGGCACATTTGCTGCACAAAATTTGGTTTTATTTGCAGTATTTTAGAAAATGTTTTTATCAGTATTCATCTTCAGACGAGGGGATTTATGTGTAAATTTTCAGAAATATTGAAGACACAAATTCGCAAGAACTTCTTTGTTAACTACATAAGCATTGCATGTACATAAATTTTTTTCATATTGTTCCCAAATTATTAAACGTTTTTATTTCAGGTCTGTTACTAGATATATCCGAATTAGGAGAAGCAAATTCTTTAGTATCAGCCGTCAATGTATCTTCTAACTCAGACGTCTGCCAGACATACGGATGCGTACAAGCAGGTAACGCACGTATCTCCTTAACTGCTATTTCTTTAAAATAATTTATGAAATGAATATAAAAAATTTGAAAGCTTTAAGTTTTTATATTACGCCCAAACGGACGTTTTTCATTTACAGGCGCATGAGCGTTTCGAGAACATTTGGATTAACGCCGTATTGTGCTAAGCATATTTAAAAAAATATGTTTAGAATTTCTGATGGACAGTATCGCGCACTGGAGATAAAAAAATGTTTCATTTCCTACAGTGTTTCCACAGCTCGCTTTGAAATTGATGAGTCAAATTCAGTTTCTGAATCAAACTTTCTTCGAATTTTTAAAAAATATTAATAAAAAAAATCTGAAATGTTTCAGATTTTAAATTACGTCCAAAGTGGCGTTTTTTAACATTTTGTGTGTTACCTTTCTTTATTAAATATCATGTTCCTCGCACTTAAACCATAAGATCCAGTGCAACAGCAATATCGCAAAATAGTTTTAAAACGAGCATATCTTTAGAATTTCCGATACAGAGACTCACGCGCTGGAGATAAAAAATGTTTTTTTTCTGCACAACGTTGCCATTGCTCGCTTTGAAATCCTTGAGTTTGTTAATCAAAAATTCGTCAAAGTTTTAAAAAATAGGAAATCGATCATAAAACAAATTTCAAATTTCAAATTTGGTCTTCCACATGCTCATATTCGTTGGAGGATTACGTTCAAAATTCGATGACTCTATGTACCGTTATTTTATGACAATGTGAGAAATATACATACATTTACGCAGATTTTCATTATTTAATTTCTTCAAATATAATGCAGGACTGTAACATTTTATGGCAACAGTTTGAAAAGTGAACCGACATTTATCCGTCCGACGCAAAATGCCAAAACGAAAGTAATAGTCCTTCGGGACTCAAGTCCCTTTGGACTAAAAATCCAATTTCCAAATTCGTTTTTTCAGATTCCCATTTTCGGGTAATAACGTACCCCTTCACCCGAAAATTTGCCCATTTGCCCGTTTGAGTTTGAATAACGTACCCCTCCACCCGAAAATGGGCCACCATGCCCATTTTCATGTGGAGGGGTACGTTATTCAAAATCAAATTTTGAATAACTGTTGTTTTTTTAGAATGCGAGAAATATACATAAGTTCATGAAGATTTTTTATTACTTAGTTTCTTTAAATATAATACAGGGCGATAATATTTGGTGGAAACAATTTTAAAAGAGATTCGGACATTTCTTTTAAAAGTTATTCGACGCAAAATGCCGTTCCGAGATTATTAGCTCTTTTAGGCTAACGTCTATTTCGGCTAATAAGTGTATTTGCTTTATTTCCAAAAGAAAAGCATACATACATTTACGCACAAACGTATTGCTCTTTCTTACGCAAATTTACATTATAAATTTGCGTAAGACATTAAAATTTTATTTTTAGCAACCTCACACTTTCTGTTAAATGTATGAAAAACAACACAGGAAACACACAAAAGAAGTCTACACTGATTACTTTAATACATTATCAATGTTTCACATCTACAATCGTATAATCATTCATTGCGAAACTTTATCCTATTTTGTTACAAGCAAGCTATTTTCGCGAAATTTTGAAGAAAAATATTGCATTCATTTTCATTTTTCTGTTAGGATTAACAATAACATACATGGTGTAACAATGTTGCACTCTTCCGTAAAATGAAAAATAAAAGAGGTTTTAGTGAATTAAATTTAGAAGTTTGCTTTCATATTTTTTATCTTACACATTAAATTTAATTCACTATAACCTCCTTTATTTTTATTTCATATGGGAACTTCATCTATCTGTCCTAAAAAGAGCGCTGTAAATCTAAACTGCGACATTCAATTTAATCATGCGATCTTACGTAACCCTTTATGCAGATGCCTCTTGACCAATCACTAAATTGTAAACCAAAACTAAAAACTGAAACTTTAGATTCCCTCCCTTCTTTCTATGTATTGATGCGTCATATTATTCTAACAAAGAAAAGGCAGAACAGCGGCACAGATCTTAGCAGTAGAGGCGAAGCGATGGCGCGAGTTCTGTATTTATAGAAGCGGTTACGTAATAGGCTGAAATGTTCTGTACAGTACTGGTCTAGGGGGAAGAGCCTGAAATTGCGGAAAGTTAATTAGAGGTTGTTTGTTCGCATAGAGCAAAGCCGTTCTATTTTTTATATTTTACACCCCCCCCCTTAAAACAAGAGGCCGGGTGAGCAAAGCATTAGTACATTAGTGAAGCAAGAAGTATGAGAAAAGGCATGAAGAAAAATGTCCAGGACATAGCTTTCAGGCTTTAACTATGCCCTATCATAAGTCATGATCTTTCTCATATAATTACAAAGTTTTTGATATATATGATTTATAAATAAACATATAATCTATACCTAAATTTAGTGGTTTATTAAAGAGTGCTAATAACGTAAGATAAACATTAGAAAAATTTATAAGAGATAGTATAAAGCACATGACAAACAATTACATAAAATGGATAAAAGGTATGTCAAACATTGATTGAAAGATTCATAAACTACTTCAATCACACTGTAAGCTAATGTAAGCCGTTTTCCTGCTTTGGGCGTTCAATAACACCGCTCTTTCAAACGCTTTTTGATTTGACTTGTATAAGGTATTTCTCCCACCTTCCTAGCGTACCTTCGTCGTATAGCGGTCAGCGCACTGAGACGGTATTTCAGAGGTCCGTGGTTCGATTCCGGTGAAAGCGATTGCCATTTTTCATCTTGCCTGCTTCAAAAAATTACCTAATGTTTCTACAATTGATTGAAGCATTAGTTTTTTTTCTAAACATACGTGCTCTATTTTCAAAGCAAATTAAAAAAAAATCTGTCTATGAATCCTATACTGTAATTGCAAATATCCCAGAAATGTCACCTTTATCAAATATCACCTATACATAAAGTTCTTTATATCGTGAATGTTTATGTATTTTTTCTTACAAGAAACCCAACCAAGAACCCAAGTACCATGTTCTTGTTAAATACTCCATCCCTCATTTTCCAAGAGCAGTACCGCAGCTTTCAGGCATAGAAGGCACAGGTATTAACATCACTTTAAGCACATTCTTCACATACATCTTTATCTCTACCTATGAGCCTCACATTCGCCGGCCACAACATGTTTCTTCTGACCTGGATGTTTTGCTCTCTTTCAACATTCGAGTTACCACACTGGAGACCCAAATGCACAACACCGTACATGGAACTGCTAAACTTCCAACGCCATTTTAAATCAAATGAAATTTTTTACTGTCTGCCAGGATACGAACACCAGCTTTACCCATTTTAGTACAGTATGACGCTGTTTTCAGTAGAAACAGATTCCTTCTTGCTCAGAAGTACCAGTTATCCATTGGTTGTTTCTGTGTTGGATGAATTATCATCAGAACATAATCCGGTTTGGATCTTCCTGGACATCAGTTATTATATTCCACCAAATGATAACGGTTTTATTTCTAAATAAAGAAAATTTGCCAAGTCTGTAAACAACACTCTACTGGATTCCAGCAGTACATTCGAGGGATAGTATTGACAGTTTGGTCAAGAATTTTACGGATGAAATCATTAGGCTTAGGAAAATTCTTCTGCCATAATGCTTAAGCATACAGAGCGAAGAATAGCTGACTTGAAAAATCTTGTTCAGCAGAGAAATGTCTCAACTGACTGCATGATGCTGTCGGCTGTTTTACAAAACAAATAAATAACCGCAGTTTAGCTGATTATATTAATTCCTTTACTGAGGATAAAAGATCTGTCTGACGAGCTATGTCACGCCTCACAAAAAGCTACAGAAACATTCCGCCATTAAACGGCCATACCAGAATCAAATACGCCGAAATTGAGAAAGCAGAACTTCCAGCTACGCATCTAGAATCCTAATGATTCAGATACACTGCACCAGTTAACAACAAATCCAAATGTAAACAACATCAGTCCAATAATTGACTTCTGAAGTTTAGGGCTGTATAAGAAAAATAAATAAATCCTGGTTTTAACAAAGTCATTCATAAAATGGTAAAGAACTTCGCACTGCAAATGGTCTTTCTGCTGACGGAAATAATTAACATCATTCTGAAATATGAGTACTTCTCCTCAGCCTGAGAAATAGCAGTCATCTTGTCCATAATTAAAACAACAAAATTCTTACTTTACCAAGAAGCTATAGTTCAATCAGTCTGTTATCAGTATTAATTAAACAGGTGAGAGGGCGATATTGACAAGACTCAGCGTCTTCGTCGACATAATTAGAATCATGATGCCAAAACAGTTTGATTTCGTCAAAACGTATCAGTACTCACCTGCAGAGTGATCGAACTGATTTCTAAGAGTCTACAGAAAAATGAAGTTTATTCGCATTCTACTCAGCCTGGGATTTCCAGGCCACAGGTGACAATTGAGAGCAGGTCTGGACACCCGGGCGACTCGCACAGACTAATCGGGTATCACCCGGGTTATGCAACTATCTGAGGTACACTTTGAAATCAAGACATTACATAGCCATGCAAGGGCAAAGTGTCAGATTTTTCTACACGGGTTGTTACAGTTTATGTGCCTTTTTATTTTTATGCTCGTTATTTTTTCCTTACCGCATTGCGGATTTTTATATAGATGTAGTGGCAACAAGAGTAAAAAATGATGAACGTTCTAATGTACACATTTTCGTAAATAGTTGTAAAATAAAATTTCTGTGTGAAAAGCAAAATGGCAAGCGTAAAATCATCAAGAAAGGTAAGCAAAAGATTATTTATCAAATGTTAAATGTAAAAAAATAAGAATAAGAAAATAAGAACAAGAAAAAAGTACAATAATTGCAACATGGGCGCAGAAATTCCGAGGTAACAGTGGTCTTTAGATATATTATGATTTAAGTATTTATTATTGTTCGATTAGTGATTGAATATTGATTATTAAGATGGATAAGTTAAAAGCACTAAAAGAAGGGAGGAATGCTAAAAGCATCAGTTACAAGACTGATTGCTAAAATGGAGAGGGAAATAGAATCGGATAATATTAAATTTGATTTATTAGAAGATGACTTATCCATCTTAAATGAAAATGAAAACGATATACTAATATTGAACACTGAAATCGAAGCTATCCTAACAGATAAAAAAAAGAGTAAGAAATTAAAATGCAGGATAGCTTGTAATATACAAGTAAAATTATCTTGTGCAAATCGAAGATCAATAGAATATTTAGAAATGCAGTAAATTAAATGAGATGCCATCTAATTCATCTACTATAGATACGGTAGAGAACACAAACTCAAATGGCGTTAAACTTCCGAAATTAATCATAAATAAATTTAAAGGCGAAATATGTGAATTTCAAAGTTTTGGGACTCAATACAAATCTGCTATACATAATAACTCTGCTTTAAAGGATGTAGACAAATTTAATTACCTCAAATCTTTACTAACGGACACAGCTTTAATGTCAATAAATAATAAAGGGATTACCATTAGTTGCCGAAAATTATGCTAAGGCAATAAATATTCTGAAAGAAAGGTTTGGTAGAAAGGAAATTTTAATATGTTGAGAGAAATTATCTGATAGCGTTTATAAAAATTAGGTGAATGATTTTATGATTTATGGAAATTTAAATTTTATTTTGATTCTGAATTATTTAATTTAAGGCTTTAATTTTGGGGAAAAAAACAGATGCTTCTGGGAAATATTATTTAGTTTAAAAGAATATTATTTATTTTCCTCTATTTGTAAATCTTGTACAAACTTTTATTCATTGTGAAAGAAGCAGGGAAAGGGAGGCAATTTTCGCCAAGTCATGATTTCGCGCGCTTTAGAATGTTCGAGAAAGAATTTTCATTGTTAGTTGACCTTAAGAGAGGAAAGTACGTGACGGAAAGGTCAAAGGTTGCTACTTGTCTTTCAATGTAAGTCATTCAGGTTTTTTGGCGATTGAGGGTCCGGTTGTTGGCTAAGTGAAGAAGGGCGCGCATGCGCGATCACCCTTTTTTCCGCATTCTGGAGTTGAAAACGAAGATTTTGCCATAATTAAGGGGGCGATAAGTGAAGCCATAGTGGGAGCCCGTTTTGGTGAAGGAGAAGAAGGAAATTTGAGTTGGACACACTTACTTTTGGCTGACTCTCTGGACTGACTCGCTGATTTTTGGGCTTGCTGGACAAAATGTAAGTGACTCCGAGAGGTTTGTTTTCCGGCGGGGAGCGGCAAATATGCTCCCCGGCCGCGTTTTGGTTAAGAGGCGAGACTCTCTTACACACTTACTCTGGACTCGCTTAGGCACTCACTGCTTGGATTCGCTGACTTTCGGGCTTGACGGACTTGTTGACGGAGACTGAGAAAAAACTTGTGGGTGTTGCGAAGGAGAAAGAAGGAAAAGATTTAGTCGGCATCGAGCAGTGCTTCCGGCGGGGAGCGGCAATTATGCTCCCCGGCCGCGGGTTTTCTCAAAAATGCGAAGAAAAAAAAAAAACTGTTGAGCGAATAACAAAAAAAAATTAACAGAGACTTGGGTCTCTATCTGTATCGGCAAAAGTCAGGACGATGTCCTCTGAACTCCGACTTGAAAACAGAAGGAATTATGTCACCTTAGTCAACTGGAAGCCTGCGTTAGCCGTTCTCTAAAATGCCTAGCTTAATTGTCTACGTTTTCCTTGGTGGAGCTGAGAGTCTAGGCAGACAGCCGTGCGGTGTAAGCTGTTCTCTTGCTTCCAGTGGGAATAATTTTCTTCTATGGAAACCAGTAGCAGGCGTAAGATTTGACGGTATAGCTGATGTAATTTATTGTCGTGCCGTTCGAGTCTCTGTCTTGCGGATTTGCCAAGTGACGTAAGGATAGAGCTAAGATATGAGCTCTCCTCCACTTCAAGATGTCCACTCAAGATAAGTATTATTTTTTTGGTGTGTTGGAACTTTAGGCAAGTTTTTTCAAAAACGTCCTTAGCAGTAAAAAAAAAAAAACAACGTCGAATCTAAAATTTAACTCTCAGGCCATAAATTGTTTCCCTTTCCTTTCTTTTAAATCACCAGACAAACCTTAAGTTTTTTTATGAATTTAAATGAACAGACTCTCAGATGAGGTTAAGATTTTTCTTATTGTGTTGTAATTGAATAAACTGATATTTAATCTGGAACCTCTTACAGTATGTTTTCTTTATATATTTAATATGAACTTTTCCTTTATATCTTGTATATGTTTTATGTTTTCGATCCTCTCACGGCGCGGTCCCGGAATGCATTTTTTTTCACAACGCAAAAAATGCTGTACACGTTTCACTATACGATCACTCCTTTAACGGCAAGTAGTTTCATATTTAACATTTAACAATATAGGAATTTAAGATATAACATTGGTCAAGATGTCTTTACCAGATAAGTAATTTTTTGGTTGGATTGAATTCTCACGGTAATCTATATAACATTGGTGCCGTGAAGTAAGATTCATAACATTATTTCCCGGCGTGAACTTAAGCAATTTAACATAAACGCACATATGAATCGTCTGCTGAATTTAAAGCCAGTAAAAAAAATGAATGATATTAAAGCATTACGTAACTTATATGATAGTTTAGAAATTGAAATTAGAAGCTTTGACTCCCTTAACGTTATTTCGAATTTTTACAGCTATTTGTTATGCCCACTGTTAATGAGAATACTTCCTAGCGAATTAATTTTAGATTTCAACCGATTGTTAATCCCTGACACAAAAACCACAGTAACTAACATTTTGGAATTTCTGAAGAAAGAAATGAAAGCAGAGAGCGTACATTTTTTCCAAACATCGCCAAATTATTCTGAGTTTAACATAAGAACCGAACCACATAAACATCAATCTCGAGACCTTTTTAAAAGTGGAAAATATCATACTGCTTTCAGAAACAAACATTTTGTCCCAGTAGTAGCGTCTTTGAATACGAATACATCAACAGCCGATTGAATATTTTGTGGGATGATAGAAGATGAATCTTTGAAAAGAAAGAAATTAAAAATGGATGGCAGATGCTATTTATGTGTTCGTAAGGCTCATACGTCAGCCCGTTGCAGCTCGGATATACGCTGTGATTTATGTTCACTAATTCATAATACTGATATTTTCAGTGCTCAAACCCAAGCCTAACGTATGGTGTATGTAGAAAGACTGGACACAATTTGTACAGTAAATAAAAAGATCTTGCTCAACAGTATGTGAGTCTCTGTATTCTAATTGTATGTAACGGAATAATGAAATAAAATCTCGAATAAGTAATATATGCGATACAACATTCGACTTTTCAAAGGTCTTTCAAAGATGTGGTTTGATGAAATTTCTTTGACGTTAGTACCCTCCATTGCATTCTGAAACTTCCTCTAAGAATTCTGTACTTTTATTTTTACCTTCTAATGACAGTTAAATTAATTATGTCTCACTTCCTTCTAGAATTTAAGCAGTAATAATGCTTTTGTTATAAATAAATATTCTTTAAATTCCAGCTGCTGCTATCTTGTCCAACATAGATAAGACAGCCGATCCTTGCGAAGACTTCTACCAGTTCGCTTGTGGCAATTGGTTGAATGGAACTGCCATTCCTGAGGACAAATCATTCATTTCCATAGATTCCAAAATCGAAGATGAGCGTGACGACACTATCAGAGGCAAGTAAATATATTTAAAGGTTTCACAATCAACCATTTAATTGCAGACTTTATCAGTAACCTTCAAGTTTATCAACGTGGAATGTCTTTGTCCCTAAAAGGGAGAACTATACTACATGAACTCTGTTAGCAAAAATGGTCTTTATGTTGAAGAAAATGGTAGATTTAACAACTGAGAAAATATTCAAATATACTTTGTAGGCATCGCGAATGATATTAAATTGATTGGTAATATAGTAGAGTATTGATTTGTTATTTGTTGTACTATAACTACAACATGAATATAAACAAATGGTTTCATGAAAACGAGTTGATATGAAAAATTTATAATCACGCGATGTCTAATTATTAAAATTACAAAGATTAATTTCATTATATTTTATTTCGATATAGCTGGTTCTACGGAGCAGAGTTCTTTTGGAAAGTAGTTTGGGGACAAAAAATTTCTTTTGAGTACAAAGATTTTAAGACAATAATTTTTAAGCAACAACATAGCCTCCGGTATGAATCTGTGGTTGACAATAACATTTCTTCGTATTTTTTCCGAAAATCCGAGAAACCAAAAAGCAACGCGGCTTTCGCAAAGTAATTAGTAACAGGACCTTACCTGACCGCTTCCTACATTTCAGGTGTAGATTCAGGTGCCCAAATAAGACTGCAAGAGAAACAATGCAAAACGTGAATTCTGTTTCAAAATTTCAAGTGAGTCTGACATGTTCTGTAACTGGCAGACAGTGCTCAGCTTAAACTTCGTAAAATATCTTTTTGTGTTAATGCTTCACGGTTTCTGAGGGTATCAACAATATCTTCAAAGCGAAAGTTTAAGGCTTATCGGACATCTACAGGATTCTAAAAAGATTCAATTTGATTTGTCCGAAGTGGCCAGAATTTAAAACTGTGAAGCAAAACACAGAATAAAAGCTTTCTAGAACAGAAAATTTTTCTCTGCTCAGGAAATATTTGCCCCAAACGTTTGTATTTAATTTAAACTCTCTCTTCTCTGGTCTACACGCAAAAAATAGTTTTTGGTTCAATTAATTTTCTGTAAGGGAAATATATATATATATAATACTGTACAGTAGTAGAAATAACTGAATACTTAAGAATACTATTGTCTTACCATAAAAGAAACATCAGAAAAAAGTTCTGCTCCCCTGTTCTGGCTTCTGTAAACCTTTATATGACATGTGACGAAATGCATGCCCCCAAATGTATGTTCTTTCTGTTAGAAGAAGTGGTAAATAGATGGAACATTTTTTCGAAAGATTAAGCTGAAGCAGTTCTGGAATGTAGGAGTTTGGGTCAATGTGCAACATTGTAGTTCGGGTATATGCTTTGTTTCCTTTATCTTTTTGAATTTCTGTATATACGTCGTCTGCCACATTGTTTTAAGTGTGAGTGTCACCAAAAGATAAAGACAAAGTTAAATATTTGTTAAAATAATGTTTAACCATATGATTCATTCACTATCTAAATTCTTTCTTTAAATATTGATCTAAAGATAATGCAAAGTACTACCTTTTGGAAGATATTGAAGTTTGATGCCATTTCTTGAAATAAAGGTTTAAAAACGCTTTTCCGGCCACAAAATGCTGAAATAAACTTTCCTTCTATCTTTTTTAACTTTATCGTTTCCTGTCACCAAAAGATAAAGTTAAATATTTGTTAAAATAATGTTTAACCATATGATTCATTCACTATCTAAATTCTTTCTTTAAATATTGATCTAAAAATAAAGCAAAGTACTACCTTTTGGAAGATATTAAAGTTTGATAAAGTTTGATGCCATTTCTTGAAATAAAGGTTTAAAAACGCTTTTCCGGCCACAAAATGCTGAAATGAACTTTCCTTCTATCTTTTTTAACTTTATCGTTTCCTATATATTTGAAAGGTTCCCCTTTCATATTTTTTTCCACGCAATTATATAATCTGGCCATTTTATGTACATTACATTATTAAATTTGGATTTGCACGTAAATTTAGAAGTACCTGTGTGCTACTATAACTCAATAATATTTTATTCGTATATATGTTATTTATTTTTATTTCTAGTTCTATTAGAAAAGGAGTTGACGGGAACCGAACCAGATTTCATTATCAAAATAAAAGCGTTGTATGATTCATGCATGGACAACGGTAAGTCTCATCTTGAATTCATCTTTCATCATTTAAATTCATCCGAAATATAACGAATATAATAAAATCAAAATGCTTATATCTTCCAATACCTTTGAAGAAAATTTTGAATGTCTTATAATAAATATTAAATAAATAAATAAATAAATTTAAAATTATCTCAAAGGAGTCATTTTAAAGTTACACCAGAGGATTTATTATGGTTTTTTATGCTCCAGTTGAACTCGTAGTTTATCTTTTGTTCTTGGGTTCACTCCTGCTGACGGAAAACATTTTTTTGTCATTTTAACTTCATTATGAAACATAACTTTTTCGCCCTTGCACCACATAAAATTCAGCAGGAAAATCACAAAATGTTTTAAAAAGTATCTTTAGAATTCTCGATGCAATGTTAAGTGATGCCATACACTTTTAACACACATGAACTAGTGTTCCTGAACCTCCCTTTTGCATCGAAAATTTTTTTTCACTTTTCAAATAAGTAGCCGTTGCCACGTCAAGCAATCTAAAATACAGAAAAAAATTTGCATTGCTTCTAATAAATCCAGCTAGTGTCATATCACGGGTCAAGCTGCTAATTATTTGCGGTGATCCACTTTAAAAATCCACTTTGGTAATTTCAATCTTTACCATGCTTTCTACAAAGATATCGAAGCAATATAATTTAAAGCAGATTTATTCATATTTAACTGTTAGTTTTTATGAAAATCCCCAACTTTGTCGGAAGCAGTCAAAAATATTTCCAATGTCATATGTTATGTGATTGGTATAACAACATTTGCCATTTTTTAAACGCTCATGATATATTATATTTCTCAATATTTAAATACATTTTTTTAAATTTTAGTGGTAAACTCTTCTTGGAAAGTTTATATAATAATCTGCAGTTTTTTAAATCTATTTTCACATTTTTAAGAGATTTATCCATACTTTTCATTATTTACTTTCTTGAATAAACGAATATTGAAGCACATTGTAATTTATTCACTCATTTATTTATTATTACTTTGCTTTGCTTGTGCTCACTTAATATTTTCTTCGAGAAGAAAGAAGAGAAGTGGAGGGCATTGAACCTTTAAAGAAAGCTCTAAAAAACCTCGGCGGATGGCCGGTGGTGGAAGGAGAAAACTGGAATGAGACTTCGTTTGACTGGATGAATACTACCTTCCGACTTCGCGAGATGGGCCAAAATTATGACACTCTTATAACCTTATTTATTAACCAGGACATAAGGAATACATCTACTAACACCATAACAGTGAGTACAGACGAATAAGAGAAACTTCTTTTATTAATTATTAGCGGAAGTACCCGATGCCAGTTAAGTTAGATTGAGAATAATGTATCTAACAACAGAGAGAACGATATCGCTGTAATCCTTTTTAATAGCGATGCAAAAACATACGATTCATATACATACATTTTTTTTTTTCAGTCTGATGCGATATGGAATCCACATAAAAAATTTCGATAGAAAAATAAACTAATTCTCTTTCATTATATCAGCAATAATGGCATGCAGTTTTTAATGATTTTCGTCTTTTTAATCAAATAGTAGTTCCATCCAATATTTCTCTTACATTCAGTTTTAGCCGATTAAATGTGGCAAAAATTTATCATAATTGATCAGAAATCAATAATGCGATCAAACAAATAAACACTCATTCTTTTATATATATATAGATAGATTTTTGTAAAACTTAAAAAGTTTTCATTAACAAATTCTACGATTTGAGAGCGAACAGTGGCTACACTTCTCGCAATAAAGCATGCGAGACTGTTGCCACTCGGTAAAATTAGGGCGTTAATACCTCTGATTTTAGCAATTATTTTTATAAGTGAACGTCAACCTTTTCCAGGATCCAGAAAAGAACTGTAGAAAGTTTGGTGACGATATGTCACCAAACAAACACGCAGATATTCTTCTTTATATACATAGATACAGATAACTCCAAGGCTCTTCTGAATCAGTAGTTTTGTTGTCAAAGTAGGGTTGAGTGTGACTATTGTAAGTCAAGTTTTAAACACTTTTTTGATCGATGAGTTTTAGTATAGATTTCAGTATCTTTTATTAATGAGATTGTATGATAATAAGCTGTAAGGGCACTTTAAAGCATTTCAGCTGCATCATTCGCCATACTTATATCCTTAATGATCAGGTCACATCTAGCTTCCACCTGATCGGCAAAGAACTGACGTAAAGAGGTTAAGTTGTATCGTCATCAGTGACAGAAATGAAAACAATCTTTCACGACACCATCTTTTGACGGTAAAAGCAGCTACGAATTGCCGTCCCAGCAACTATAGATATGTCTCTACAGTTTATAGATATGCAGACTATAGACAGGTCTATCGACAGATAGATCTACCTAGCAACTATAGGTGGGGCAAACAAGAAAGGAAGCTGTAACAAACGTTTTTCGTGACAGATTTGAACACAATTTATCGTGAACACAGTCTACAAGTGGTGAAACAGCTGTTACCTTTCTCATTTTACCAAGAAGTAGTTTCTATTTGGATCCAAAGCTACATATTATTAAAGAGCTTAAAATTCCAAATAGCTTTGAATTATTAGTTTTTGCAACCGTTTTTAATCGTGACCGTATTTGTTAATCAAGTACATAATAAATGTTCTAATTGCTTTTTTTATTTTATAGTTTCATAACAATATGTCTCTAGGACTATCTTAGCGATTAAAAAAAGTTACCTTTTTTTTTTTTTCTTTACTTGTACGAAGTAAAGGAAATATTGTAGTAGCGAAACATTTGGGGTATTATATTTCAACGAAAATATGCATTTTGACTGGTCTTGAATCCATTTGAACAATGCTTTTTATGTGACATCTGTACGTAAGAAGAGAATAAAGCACCCTTTTTCCCCAAACGAATTACAATAGGAATTTAAACTGGATACAGAAGAAATTTTATTTCGTGACATCTGTACGTAAGAAGAGAATAAAGAACCCTTTCTCCCAAAACGGAATACAATAGGAATTTAAACTGGATACAGAAGATATTTTATTTCGTAACGTATGCACGTATATATCTAACATAAGTAAAAAACGAGTAGCCTCAGAACGTTAAAATGTTGCACATGTTGCACTCGCACCTTCCTTTTTGCTTGCAATCGGCCGTACCGAAAGTGTATATACATATTTATCCACTTTTTTACACGGCTCGGTGAGCTCAGTTTTCTATCCTTATATGTTAGTAAATTGTGCCTTTTTTTACTTTAACGGGGATATGATTATGTTGTTCTCATGTTCTAGTTAAGGTTTTTATGACTTTAATCAATCTGCATTCACTAGTTGTAGAATTATCAACAATTGCTTGTTTTTTGCGTAAAAAAAACTATTTTGTGTTTTAGAATTTTTTATGAAAATGTTTTGAATTTTTAGGTACTTTTGCCTTGTCGCGAAGTGAGAACTGAATTGATTGAATGAGAAATACATCTGCAATGAAATTCGAGGAAATAAATTTAAATGAAATGCAGCAAAAATTATGTATAATTAATTACCGCTTACATAGAAGTCATGTGGTGTTCACATATTTTTTTAAATAATTTATGTTATGCTTATCCCGTTCATTTAAATCACGCGTGAAAGCATATACGGAAGTATAGTACAAATATGCAGTATGTCCATAAATTTGACGTTTTTAAAAAATCGTATAAAATCAACAGTTTTGCATACCAGAGTGCGTTTTGATCTGAAGATTTATCACAGAGTAAACTGAATTTTACTTAAGTTTTAGTTAAAGTTAAAATTTACTTCATTTGAAGATAATGCACTACTTATATCGCGAACATGTGCAAATTTAAATGTTTCAAAAAAATGAAGAGTAACTGAGAGCTCAAGATAGACTGCAAAGTTATTAGTAGCACTGTTTTCTGAACTGATTCTACGAATTGATTCTGTCTAATAATAATTATCCTCAATCTATATATATATTGCAAGTTTCTAACTACGCCATCTATCAGACAATTTCAACTAAAATATATTTTAACTAGAAGTAGACAAAACCGTTCTTTTATGTGATAGGATCAGAACTATTCGCTCAATGAGATGAATTGATTTTTTCAGTGACTCACCGCTCACTAACAATAACATTGATGAAAAAAACCCGAACGACGGATGAGTCGAGAGCAGTTAGCGAGGATGTAGCGAAGAGAGGAAAGAATCGCATCAAGATTGGAATTAGGAACGGTTTTAGCGAGGTTGGAGAGAAGAGCGAAAAATGAAGAGTGGGATTAGAAGAATTGGTTCAAACAAACGCTGATTCCCTCAACTAACGTCTTTTAACTGTAGTGTTGAAAAATTCTCTAAAACCTCCTTTCTACGCAGAACTAACTATAGAATTAAAAAACAGAAATTTTTCAAAAAATTGGGAAATGATAAAAATATAACTCGTTTTTAACATGGAAGGAGAAATTCTCTTCCTCCCTAAAATGGAAATTGCACTTTTTTGCACAAGGAATTGCAGAAGGACATTGCACAAGGAAAACGAAATACACTTCGGAAATAAGCTTTTGTATGAAAACTGCCCTTGATTTTCCGATTCAATAATTGTACATGAATTTTTGAAAAGTATTCAAATTTAAGTATGTGTGTGTATTTAATTATGGCAAAGCACACGAGGGCTATCTGCCTAAGGGGAGGGATGCCTTCGTGGAGGACTTTCTAAGGGAAACTGGCTCGTATACACGTTACACATGGGGAAAACCACGAAATCACCCATGCAGCCAGCCCGTTCGCGGGATTCGAACCTCGGACCGAACTACCAGTGTTCAGCGACTTTACTGCTCGGCCGCTGGTGCGCCTTATTCAAATTTAAGAGATAGTCAAATAGTAAAAGAAATGAACTGATTTGAAGCAAATGAATCGCCTTTACAAGTGCTTTAATGCAATATGGTTATTGTCGATGTAGTGATATATCGTTTCACCGCTTTTAATTTTATCGTTTTGCAGTTTTATATTGTGGCTAGAAGGGTACAGCTTGAAGGGGGTGTACACCAGAATTTCTCTATTAGTCGTGCAGGTATTGTCCAACCACAATAACTGTGCAGTTTCGCCCCAATTTTGATGGATAACAGCACGCGGGGATCCGAGTGTCCCCCAACCGTGTTATTCTACCATTAACCTCTCGGTAGCACATTCGGCTTGCTTTGTATTTTCAGTTCCCCCATACCACACATAAACTTTATGCTTACAAACAACCATGCCTTTTCCGGGATTCGAACACGGATTTTTCGGTACGGCAGTTAGCGTCACTAACTAGTACACCGACCGTATCGGAATACTTTTTTTGACCCTGTTATGGGAGAGAAAAGGAGCTAAAAATTTTTTATACGAGCGCCGAAAAAAGCTAGTTGCAATAACTGATTACGAATATATGGTTAAGATTCTTGAAAGTCAAGTTGCACTTTTATTATGATGTTACATTGAAAGTGCGAGGTGAGTTTAAAGAATCTTCTTGTAATAATCTAATATAATGCTAATTTTCTTTCTTTGGGGCTAATTAGATTTTGCTTTTATGAATTCTTGTCCCTCAAATCAAACAAATCCCGACTTATAAACATGTGAAGTTTCCCTAAAAAAAGAAAAGGAAAGGAAAAGGTTTATGATTTGTTTTCATAAGCAATCTAAAAGGAAGTATTTGACATTTAAAAAAATAATCCCGTAATTTTTATGATAAAACTGGCATAGAAAAGTTAATCAAGCCTTTTTTCTAGTGTATAACTCATATATAACTCCTTTCAATTTTTTTTTCAAGTTGGTCCACCCCGATTTTGGTACACCAACTTATAAAAATCTGCTTGGTTTACCAAGCAATTCTATAGCAGATGCTTACTTCAGGCTGATGGTCACAGCAGCTAATTGGATGGGTGCAAACCAAAGTACATCGGAACAAGAACTCCGGGATGCTTTCAATTTTGAAATCATGCTTGCTAATGTGAGTGCAAATTATTTCCTTTGATTTACCTTTTCGTGACAATACAAACTCATTACACTTGTATGTTCAAAAGGTTCCCGGAATAGGCTTGTAGAGTAGTTCTATTTGAAGTTGTTATTTGTGGAGAAATTATAACTAAATCATCTTCGAAGTAGCATTCAAGTTCAGCTAAGAGATTCAAAAATATGAGTGCCCAACTTAGTGTTTGTTTCGTCTTTTTTGACTAAGCAAAAGAACTAAAGCATGCATCTCTAACTGTTTCTAATAAAGTTAATTAAATTAAACAAATCATTTTGGTAATTTTCATTCTGTTATATAACATGAAGGAAGTGTAAGCAATTATACATTAGACGGCGCTTAGTATGATAACCATCAGTGTTACTGTTGTAGCCAGATGATCCGCCTCCGCAATGTAGCCAGATGATCTGTGACGTAAGAGTCATACAGGACTACTGTCGGCGTACGAAAGGAGAGTGGGGAGCTTTGTCTACGTGTTTCCGTGGCGATGCTTTTCAATAATATTTTTTCGAGCAACCTGGAGGCTACGAGAAGCTTCTATAAGGGAATTTAGGGTTCTCTATAAATATATTTGATACAGACCACTGTATCAAATATATTTATGGAGAGCCCTAAAGATCACTGTAGGATTTCTTTAGGGTATCAAATATATTATTATGAATGCATCACTGTATCAAATATATTATTACGAATTTTGTAGTTATATAGGTAACTTTAGTAGAATTATAAGAAAAATTGTTGTATTTTTCAGTATAATGTAGCGCGAGACAAATTTTAAGGGGGATTCATACACCTTAAACCCTTTATGATCTTCGAATATGTGACTGTTGCAAGATTTGTGATATTTTACTTATTTTAAAAGCAATTACTTCCAACCTTTTACAGTTGACTACATAATATAGCTGCTTTGGGAACTAGCAACCAGAAAATTCGTGTTGCCACAAATATTTTTGTAATTTTATCCGCTTCGTGACAAACGTTTTCGTTATGTTTCCATCTTGCGCTCATGGTATTTTAAAAATGGCTAATGGTACATACTTGAAATTTGACAGAACTCTTTATATGGGCACTAATTTCTAACCGAATCAAAAATATGATGAATATTTTAATATTAAAAAATTTTATACACGAAAACATGACAGATTTTTTAACAAAATACATTTTTATAAACTCAACTCCAAATAAAATAAAAATTTAACATGAAATTCTTAGTTTTGGTTCACAGTAGTTTCCAAATATTATAAAAGCTATATATTGAACATGGAATTAAATTATGCAACAGAATGTCTTAAACTGTGCGCGAAAGGTGGAAACACAACGAAACATTTTGTCACAAAGCGGATTAAATTAATCGGTAATTTGGTGAGAAATGGCCAAAAGTCCCTGAATTTGGTGATCATTTGGCGACGTTTTCGTCTGGTCCCTATTACGAGGAGTGGCGCCCTCTCGGATGTGGAGGGCGTTTTTAACCATGTAACGCGGCAGCGAACTAGTCAGGTCTGGGAGCTCCTGCCTACGGTGACCTGTATCACCGTAATAGGAATTGAAATTAAGTAAATGTACTTGACCACTATGTTAGCTGTAATCGTAATTCCACCCTTGTATTTGATGTCCAATAATTACGAGAAACAGAAAGTACTAGGAATACGTCGGCGGTTGGATGTAAACTATAAAAGGCAGGAGAGAGCATCTCTGCTCAGTTAGTTAGTAGATATTACTGTAGTTGCGAGCTGTTATTTCCCCGTGAGTTCGAATTAGCTTTCTCTTTAGATGCCCTTTGCATTGTGTTGTGTTTAACGTTATTAGTAGTTTGTAGTGTATCTATTGATTACGCTGTGTGATAATGCGAATACGTGTACAAATATTTATGTGAAAAATTCCAGAATTCTGAAATATTTTTCATAAAAATAAATTTTTAACTATTATTGGACCTTGTGCATTAAAATTATAAATTGCATTAAATTTCAAATATTATCGGATCTTGCGCATTCAATCTATTACCAACCCGTGCGTACGCAACAATATTTATTGAGAGTACAAGTACTTACTGTATTGCACTTTATTGTACTTATGTACAATTACTTACTTTATTAAACTTTTATTATGTAAATGAACAGTTATCATTCGGATGTTACTATTATTGCTGAAGTCCCGGCCTTTTGTATATGGAAACATGGAAATTACATTGCTTATTATGATCTACAATTTGGTTTATATGATCAAATTATAATAGAAGAAATTTTTAACTTGAAACATAGTCGCCAAATGAGTTTAAAATTGCCTAGTTGCATTGAAATGTCGCTAAGTAACTAAAATCCCCAAATGTATTGGCTTCGAATTTAGTATTAGGCACAAATATTATAGAATTTAGTATTAGGCACACTATTTAATATTAGGCACAAAAGAAATCTTAGTTTTCTGTTAGATGTTCAAGAACTCTATCGATTTCGAGGATACCAGATATATGTCTCTCTTCTTCAGAAGCAAGAAAATATCTGCAGAATTGTTTTCCTGAAATCATCTACGACAATCTAAGGCTGCGTTTTTGGCTAATTTTAAAACTTACGTTGACTAGTTAGTTCTCTTTAGTGAGAGAGAGTATCATAATATTGAGATTAGTCATACAACTTCGGTCAAATCCTTTACAAAAATTGTACGAACTTATGCATTTCCATAAATGAAATGTGAAAGTGCCTATTTATTCGTTTCTAGATATATTAAATTAGTTGAATCCGATTGATCTTTCGGAGGATTCTTTTCTCATGGTTTAATGTTATCGTGTGGTTTTAATGCTATCAAAATAGCCATAAGCAAATATGATCACACTTAAGCGGCGCCTACTATTATACACTCTAAAAGTTAGCGAGAAAGTCTAAAATGTCCTACAAAAGGAGAATTAATGGTAATTACAGCATTAAGTTAATAAATTCACTCATAAGAGTCGTGTCTTAAAATCTGTGTTAACCTTTGTTAGAAAATCGGTGTTGCCCGTTGAAAGATTATAAGAGTCTATAAATGTTTCAACATAAAATTCCTTCAGTGCTTTCATTTTTAGCCCAAAGGGCGTTAGCCCAGAAGGGCTATTAATTTCGTTTTGGCATTTTGCGTTGGAAACTTTAAATGTCGGTTCTCTTTCAAATTGTTGCCACCAAATGTTATATTTAAAGAAATTAAATAATGAAATATACATAAATGTATGTATGTTTCTCGCACTGTGATAAAACAAAGATACGCAGAGAGATCAAATTTTGAATAACGTACTCTTCCACCGAATATGGGCATCTCGAAGCCTTAATTTGGAATTTGAAATTTATTTTATTATCGACTTCAAATTTTGTAACACTTTAACGAATTTTTGATTAAGAAACTCAAAGATTTCCAAACGAGCAACGGTAACACTGTGAGGAAAAGAAACGTTATCTCCAGGGCGCGAGACTGTGTATCGGAAATTCTAAACATATACTCATTTAAAAATAATTTTGCAATATTGCCGCTGAATTGAATTTTAAGTGCGAATAACATGATATTTAATAAATAAAGGTAACTCATAAAACGTTAAAAAACTCTCCTTAGGGCGTAATGTATAATCTGAAAGCTTTCAGATTTTTTTAAAGCAATCAAATTTTAAAGTAAAAAGAAATATTTTTAAGATATGCATTTATCAGTTTGATATAGTTTAGTTTCTTAATTAAGGACAGACGGATTAAATATGAAAGAAAAATATTTGACTTTTCCTTAGTAATATCTTTTTCTGTATGCCTTTTTAAACTGATCAGAGTTTCTCCTTTATAGCTCACTTCACAAGAGACACAGTTTGACTTCAGTACTATATATACTACCGTTGGGCAGCTGATGATTGATGCGCCACAGGTAAACTTATTATTCTGTAAAAGGTTTTACTAAAATCTCAAATCAAAATAATTACATACATAAATACTTATCGGTACTAAAGAGAACATTAGGACATACAACTGACTGAACGAAATTTTTATTTAAACTTCTTATTAATTCTTGCTGTATGAAATATCCACATTTAAGATGGTAGAAAAAATAACTTTGTGAAATTTAATATTAAATTTGTAGAGAAATTCAGCGAAAAAAAAAAAAACAACGCAAAAACAGATGAAATTATTTCTGATTGTAATTTCACTGAAACTAGTCTATAAGGTATTTTCTTCCTCCTTTCTTCATGCCTTCGTAGTATAACGGTAGCACACCTGGCGCGTGTTCGAGAGGCTAGATTCGAGTCCCGGAGTAGACATGCAGATTTTTCAGGTCTGCTGCTGGCAAAAATACCTAATCTCTCTACAATGGTGCCTGAACTAAAAAGTGGTGAATGATGATTCTTCACCATCAGGATTTGGCGGCTGTGTTTCCTAAGCCCCAGTCATCCTTGAAAAGGGGGAGTATATAAGGCATTTTCTCTCTTCTTTCTGCAGGCCTTCATGGTGTAGCGGTAGCCCACTCGGCGCGTATTCGAGATGTCCAGGTTCGAGTCCCGAATTGCATACTTTTCAGGTCTCCTGCTTCAAAATATCGTAATGACTCTACAAGCTCAAAATTATAAAAGCACTATTACTATGGCTAACTTAGTAGAATTTATGATTCTAAGTAGAAGTTGGAGTACTTGATCGAAAAAAAGATGGAGTTCGCTTTGAACTGGAATGTTGCGGAAGCTCATTATTCGAGAAACTGTTACGCTGAAAAGATTTTGAAGCTTTTAAAGAATCTAAGTTGGGGGGTTAAGCTAATTTAAGTTTTTAACAATTGAAAATTATGATTTTTGTCCCGGCAATGGATGCCATGTTGGACAGTTTTTTTAAAAAATTTTCTTTTGTTTAACACTAATTTCTTTCAACTGTTCAGAGTGTCGCTATGGTAAACAAATACTAGAGTGAATTTTAAAGAATGCATTTATTCTATTGTGGTTTATGCGCTGTCGGCGAAGTAGATTTAATTCAATCCAATAAGTTTAAATGAAATGCAAGAAAAAATGCGTATAATTTAATATTCCGTACAAGGAAGTCATGTGGTGTACACATCAGATTTTTTTATTAGGATAATTAATATTTGTATTAAGGGATATAGCTTATTTCATTGTAATTTTTTTCTCTTGAAAATATAAGATAAAATATCATTAATTATACTTTGCTTTTAAGAATTTTTTGTTTTTTGTATTCTTTTATGTTATTTATTGCTCATTTCACTGTCTTTAAGATATTGAAAAGTTTAGAGTGATTTTTTTTTTTTGGGGGGGGGGAACAAAGTTCTTAACCTCCTTTATACCATTTGAGATCTTAAGATTTTGCAAAGGGAAGTTGCTTAATTTATTTATTAGGATAATTAATATTTGTATTAAGGGATATTACTTATTTATTGTAATTTTGTTACACGTAATAACTTTTTTTATGAAGTTGTTCTGCAGAGTAAAATTCTACGCAGTTTTTAAATTTAACGTTTGGTGTTCCCTTCAGCCATTTTTCCGGTATATTTAAAATCCAGACGAAGGCTGGCAGCGAAGCTGCTAGTTGTACATAAAAATCAGTACAGTGGGATTCATGAAGCCTCATACTCAAGTACTGAAGAAAAGGGAGGTCTCTTGAAACCAAAGCCAAGCATTAGGAGAGAGATAAAGATATAGGTTTCGATGAGAAGGTTCTAATACCAATGTTTTTGGAGTTCAAATATAGCTCTCCTGTATAACACCTTTTTTTTTTTTTTTTTTTTTTTTTTTTTTTTTTTTTTTTTTTTTTTTTTTTTTTTTCGAAAGACTAATTCTTTAACAATTACATAAAGTTTTTAGCATAGTTACAAGTTGTTGAAATATCAAACTTAGTCAGAAACAAAAAACTCGACACCTTAAAGAAAATGAGTGGAAAATGAATTTTAAAAATTAACAAACAAAATAATTAAGCGACCAGGTTAGTATAAACAGAAAAACTAGAATAGATATTAAATGAGCGCTGAGGGCCATAACTCTTTTACCAAAAATGATCAAGCAACAATTAAAGCAAAAGCATAAAATCAAACAAAACTTAAAATAGGAATTAAGTTTCCTTTAATAAAATATTGAATATAATAAATTTTTTCCTGGAAAGAACAAACATTATAAATTACCATTCGAAGTAAATTACAATCACAACTCAAATCAGTATAAGCTTCAGCACTTAAAAAAACAATCTTTTGAGAACACTTAATAATAACTCTTTGAAATCCAGACCCTTCGCTAAGCTGTATCCTCAAAATACCCGAACCGCCCGAAATACTTTTCCAGTTTCACAGCAATTTCCTCCCCTCCCGTCCATTAACGCAGAAAATAGGTGTGAAGATTTCCAATGACATCCTTTGTACTTTCTAACAAAGATTCCATTGCCTTTGACCCCGTTCTTTATAAAACTATTCTGAAGGTCAGATCAACAAGCCTTTCCGGCTTTGTTATGATCATGACTGAGATTTTGATTATTTCCGTTATTTTTATAGGAAGGAATAAATTGTTTAAGCATAAATATAATCCTTAAATTTTTAAACTGCTCTTTTATTGCTGTTTAAACCTTAAAAGCACACTGTACCACAAAAGAATCAACAACGAAATGTCACAATCAGCCAAAGACAAAGACAAAAAAAAAAAAAAAAAAAAAAAAAAAAAAAACTCTTAGGACAAGCTGTCTGCAAAAAACTGATACAATGCATTTGGGGAATGTGCACCTGCTCTGCATACCTTAGGGGGAGGGAGGAAAAGAAGATTACAATCTCGGGCGGTTCTGGTTGTTTCAATGTAGAGCCGTGTCGGGCGGATTGGATGTGAAGGAGTTAAATAAAAAAATAATTAATAACACTTATTGTTTGACGTGTTTTGATAGCATAAATTAAAATCAAACTCCTAATAGAAGTTAAGCGAATTATCTCTACATCTCTGGAATTATCTCTGGAGCACAAATGCACGACTTGTGCTTGCAAATCAACCAATCACTTGTGGTGATCTAACTTAAAGTAAAAGTAAGATAGAATTTAAAATTAAGCTATGCTATAGCCAAAGACTTTGCAATTAAATTTAATGCGAAACTGGCTCACAAATTTAACCAGCGTTAAATTTTTAAATGTCGGCACTATAATACAAAACTGAAGAATGAAAGCTTATTAGAGCTAGCAAAAACTTAGCAATGTTATCTCGAGAGGCTGAAACGTGCACTGTCTTACAATCCGTAAATCTCACGATATATACTTTCAAACTTATTCTGGTAAGGAATTGGAGACAGAAGTGAGGGTACAGTTCTAAATCATAAAATAACTTATTAATTTAAATAATAATTCTTACACATTTTAAATTAGAACCCAACACTACAGATCTTACAAAATACAAGTATTTACCACAACAAAAGAAGCTTTGATAAAGTTGGACAGAGTTCCAACCAAATTGCAATGAGCAATATCCTCATACTAAATTATACTATCTTTGCTATCGAATTTCTTCATCTGTTTAAATATGCTTCTTCTTTGACAATCTTAAATTTATCACGCTTCTCAAAACGCTACCCAGAGGTTTCGCAGAGTAGATTTTTACCTGCAGAAGTCATGCAAAATCAGCTTAGGCATTATAGCATTACAGTTATTCTCGTGGGGATGCAGAATGCAGAGAATATAAGCAAATTTAAAGAATGAACTAATTAAACTAATCGTCAATCCATTTTCAATCAATAATCATTTGCGAGTTCAAAGATTTCTTTTGCTCTTTAATTCCTCTTATATCATACATAAATATGACGATATCATTTTTGCAAAGATAATTTTCTATTACAGAACAATATGCCTTGAACGATTTTCTGCAGAATGATATATGTTGGCCTCAAATTAATTCATTATGTTTTCATATAATTTATAACAGTATTCTTGCTTCAAAAGCGGTTGCTGCCAATATTTTTCAATAAAATTTTTAAAGAGATTTATTCTATTTCTTTGTTAATTGAAATAACTGTAGAGAAAATTTATATGGAAAAATTTACTGTAATCGAAATGGCATAATGACAAAAATATGTGTTCTATTCTGGCGCATCGATTTGGCTAATATATCCAGCTGTGGAAACTTCTTTCTCACATGTTGTCCTACAACCGAAAAGTTACTGATCAATAACTAAAGCGGAACTAAGAACATGATTGTACCGATAAGCAATGAATGGCTAGGTATGATGAACATGCAGTTAAATGCTCTACCAGCCAATATAGATCTGGGCATATGAATGGACAACCGGTGACACCGCCAGCAGAGGCAGAGCTAGCGATGTCGGTTAAGCCAGATCAACAGCAGCACCTCGGCTGTTGTCAACCAGAATGGTAGCACGGGCCCCAGGAAGGCGTTGCTAATCTGGATAGTTAGTGCAAGGGGCCTATACTTACTTACTCAGGCTAAATAATAAATCACCCCTGGACTTATACCTAACCTAACCTATCGTTATTGATGCTTTAAAATTCTTATTCTTCAGTTTAGCAGAATTTTCCTTATCTGATCTAATTCAGTTACAAATTTTCAACTGTATCTGCTTTGTTTTGGAAATTCTAATGTTCTTATACAAATATCGTTAAAAACCAACAAGCAGCTCTTAAATGAGTCGAAAAGAGAAGAACCCATCTTTAATGAAAAAAAACTCAGTTCTATAATTAGCGAGAGAATGCTACCTTTTACTAGTTCAGGAAAGAAAAAAAAGAAACAAGGGGTAGAAATTAGCATAGAGAAATAGGATATAAACCTAGCTTAGAAAGCCTATATATAAATCTCGTAGAATAAAAACTTTTATGCGCAAGATTTATATGGAATAAAAAGCGATTCGTCCTTGCGAGAGTGTAAGGATCTTAAGTTATACTAACGTTTATTTTAT